TGCGTAGATAACTGGATATTATGGCGTAGTGCATGATCGAATGAAATTTTTAGAGGGAGAGCATAAAATCTAGAATTGTAGCTATTGTATTTTGTTTATATAAAAGATATCATGCAGTAAGATATATTGGCAGAGTATACTGACGTATATGTGTTTTAGTCTGCCTCAATAGTTAGTATTTATTCTAAAAACAGTTTCTCCAAAGTAGCAAGTTCAGAAACGAAATATTTTTGTCTTTTGTTTATTACTTCTACAATTGTACGCGCTCTGAACATTTTGAAATTATAATAAGCATAATAATGCATTTAAAACAATTAAGTTCATGAACCACGTAAACAAATGTTATAATGTGAAGATATTCTCGACTACTGATTATTACGTAGCGAGCGGCATTTTAAGAGGCAGAATCGCATACTGCTGTCCAGTTTACCGGAGCAAATTTTGATGGATTATAAAATTTCCGAGGCATCAGATTTTCAAGTTGTTTATTTAAACGCTTATGGCAAAGCACTATCTGCCTAACGGATGATGCCTTAGGATCTTGAGAGAAACTAGCTACCACTCGCATTACACGCCCAGAAAAGTAAGAAAATGCCTATGTAGCCAGCTAACTTAGGAGCCTAGCATTTTCTGAAATGATGAAAATTTTAATAAACTGAAATGCAAATTCAGAAACATTATTTTTGTAAAACATGTAAAAAAAAAGTCAATCTTATCTTTTAGAAACATTTTTTTATTAATTTTACTACTCAGTCTTTTGAGTTACTTTCTCATCTTACTGGAAGGCTTATCATAAATAATTAAACGTTTTCAATATTCGTTTCCCGTAAAAAATGAGTTAGGATAAATCTTTCAGATTATCTCACATGTTATAGTTCACATCCTTTAGAAACATGTTTTTGTTAATTTTACTACTCATTCTTTTGAGTAGCTTTCTCATTTAACTGGTATGTTTCGCATAAATATGTAAACATAAATAAGTTTTTTTTCCTCATTAACATTTTCAATATATTTTTTTTGCCGCGAAAAAAGAGTTAGCATAAATCCTTCATATTATCTCACATGTTATAGTATAGTTTAAGGAATCTTTTTACTTCCTTGTGCGAAATAAAGGAAATATTATAATCGCGAAAAAATTTTGGGTATCATATCTTAACGGATATATCCATTTTGACAGCGCCCAAATCCATATAGCCGATATGTTTTGCTCAATTTTTTTCCGACAGAATAAAAGACTCTTTTTTCCGGTGTGGTGTATTTAATTATGGCAAAGCACACTAGGGCTATCTGCCTAAGGGGAGGGATGCCTTTCGTGGAGGACTTTCTAAGGGAAACTGGCTCGTATACACGTTACACATGGGGAAAACCACGAAAACGCCCATGCAGCCAGCCCGTTCGCGGGATTCGAACCTCGGACCGAACTACCAGTGTTCAGCGTCTTTACCGCTCGGCCGCTAGTGGGCTACTCTTTTTTCCGAAACGGATCGTAAATTGGATTTAAAACATATTTGAAAGAGACTTTTTGTAACATCTGTACGTATGTACGTATCTCGCATGACTCTTGTATTATATAATATATACATTAAATTGTGAGCATAGTATAGATATGTATCATCTTGTATAAAATTGAATTATAAGTTCCCTGCAATACAGTACTGTGTAATATATATTAAATTGTGAGCATCGTATAGATATGCGTCGTATAAAATTGCACTAATATAGGAAATATACAGTTGGTATAGTAATATAAATAGTGTTTTATTAACTTTGCATTAACTATTGTATTGAACAATATGGGCTTATTAATCTTATATTGAATTATCTATCTTGTCTTGCATCTCGTACAGAATCATTAGTATCGTTTTAACCTTGTATTAGTATATATCTGTATATATGTGTATGTATGTATATATATGTGTGTATGCGTGTGTTATATATAGTTGTATAATGTATCCTCTTTACCTTGCATTGGTATTTATATAGTTGCATAATGTATTTATGTATTGTATCCTTGCTTTGTACACTAACTATTGTATTGAACTTACCATCAGTATTAAGATCATTACATCATCGATATCATACTATCAGCATTATTATCAGCCTAGTATGTAGCAGCAGTAGCAGTTTTGTAATATTTTAGCATTGTATCAGTTTGTAGTACTGTTTGTAAGTATTCTAGTAGTAGTTTTGTAGTATTGTAGTATGTAGCAGTAGTAGTTTTGTAATGGTGTTTTACTCCTTTGGTTTTCTATTGTTATTGCTATCGTATGTGTTTTGTTCTAATTATGTCTATGTGATTCTAGTATTTTATTCAAAACTGGCACTTGCACCTTTGTAATCTTTATGCTTTGTCAAAACTTCAAATGTACCCTTTATTTATCTATTTATCTTATTTTTTTGAGCCCTTGTCTGGCCATGTATTTGTTGAACTTTGACTCAATAAATACTAGGCCCGGGCGGTTTGGTGTGAATATGCTTCTGGGGGCTTCTTTGGTCTTTTGGACTGCTACCTGGATGGCCTGTCGCTGGGGTTTCGGTGTATGGTGCGAGGCGCCTGTGTGGTCCATCTGGCTCAAGATAGAGGTGGACGTGTTGCATATGCCAATTAACCATTACGGTAAAGGGATGGTGCACACGTCCCCCGTCAACTATCAACTATCAACTATCAACTATCTCGCATGACTCAAACGATTAGCCGTTGATAACTGAAATTCTACATATGAGACAAGCTACAACATAAAGTTGTGCGCCTCCTTTTTTTATTGGAATTGGCAGTACCCAACATATATATAACTTATATGTACGATACCAAACGTATATGTAAGATATAAAAACAGTAAAGAAAATTGTTAACAAATTAAATTTAATTGGAACTAATTTCTAATTTAATTGGCAATAGTTCTTTAGATTTTTAATTTTAATTAAATACATCTCCTCTTCAAGGATCCGTATTTTCTCTGCAATATGAAACCTCTTGCCTTATCGCTGTTCAGGATTGAAACAAAGGATCCGAGATTATGATTAACTCCAACTGCCTACGCATTACTTTCTCGCCTGCTGTCGCCTACCTATTCGCTGCTCTGTAGTATCCTCTGTTGTTTCAGATGTGATATTCATATATGGAATTGTGGGGTACAGATTGAACCCATTGTGCTACATGATATCTAGAGAAGGTGTTTCTAATGATTTGTTAATGTCTTGAAAATAAAATGACGTTTAAACCATCAAGCTCGTTGTACTCTTCTATAAAAGTACACAGCAAATTCAAGCTATCTTCTGTCTGTGAAATCTATCTTTCTTTTTTCCCACTTCTTCGTGTGAGATCTATCTTCACCAACCTGGCCAAGATTGAAAAGTAATTGGTATCCTCTACACTAAGTTCTCATCATTGTACGACCAAAAATATTTCAAAATCTGCTATCCCCGTCCTCACCAAGAGTGCGACATAACTGGTTCCCTCGTCGTACTCTATTCCCAAAATATTACATATATATGTATATATCCACCCTCTCACCGGGATTAAAAGTCCTAAAAACGTACATTTATAACAAATCACTGACGCATTTTAATTATAGTAGAATATTCTCTCGAATGCCATTAAATGTAAGCTTTATGCTGAAGGAGAATTTCAAGTAAAAAATTAAATGCTTATCTAGTTATAACAGCAATATACATACGCATTTAATAGAGAATTTTTAGCAACATACTTAACAAAGTAATGCAATAAATTCCAAGGTTTTACGTCTTCTATTTTTGCCTCTTCTTTCTACCTGTGTAAATGTTTATCTCAATTATGTACATCGCATGATGTTGTAGTTTGGCTTCCTGAAAACATAGCTGTTCTTTTAAGAAACTATTATTATGGAACATTTTAACTATTATTATGAAAAATTAAACACTGTTATCATCCGATACGAAACAATATTATTTCTAATCCGGAAGGATAATAAATATTGGATTTTTTGACATTCGCACAGGCTAGAGCGTCATTATATCTGGATTATTGCTTGCTCTACACATTTGCCAAAAAAAGAGAGTAATAATCTTTTATTTTTAGTATTAACGATAATCCAAATTTCCTGATCTAAAATTTTATGAATAATTTTTTTATTTGGGGTGCCTTGGAATACATAGAATAACCAACTTCTCACAGGCAATGTGAAAAATCTCTAAACGACGGTAAATTCCTACAGATATTGTTGTGCTGTCCATATGCCTTCGGCATCTTCAAGGGATATTTAAGAGTGATGGCTGCCATTTTCAGCATTAATTATGAGGTATTTTATGTTCTTTTACTAATGAAGTTCAATCTGACAAATATAAGCGAAATTGAAAAATTTGCGCAATAAAATATCGTTTAAAAACCATGATTTTATGCATTTTTAGGCCAACTGCATTACTATTAATTGAAAAATGCATGAAACACAATTATATTTACAGATTACTAACTATTGTACAAGCTTATATTTACTTTTTTAGTAAGTATGTGAAGTACATATGTATGTATCATAAATTTATGCTCTAAAAGCATTTCCAGGATTTTTAACTGGTTTGAGCTTTTATAAAATTAAACTTTTGAAGCTAGCCCTTTTTATCTATTTATAAAATTTTCTTTTTGAAACCAAACAAGCCAATATTTCCTCGAACGTTGCCTCGACTATAAGTGAGCTGTTTAATACCGCAACCTTCATAAAGATATATTTTCATGTTTGTTGAATCACTATTTTATTTCGACCAAAGTATTCTGGCATCGGAAAAATTTAAAATATTGATATTACTATAGATTATCGACTTTATTTTGATATTATTAATTCAGCACTAATAGTTGTTAAATCTGGTTTGTAAAATTATATGAATAAAATTCTAATGCAAAAATTCTTATTTTACTATTCAGTGATTAGTATATACAATGTCATAACTTTAAAACTATGAGTAACAATTCGCGTTTTGAACTGTTACTTTTAAAGAGAAAAAACTGAAAAGAAGCAGCGTACACTTACCAACAGAGCCCCAATCTGGATGACCTAGGTTATTGTACCAACCATCATATCGCTGCTTTTCTGTATGAGTGTACATTCGTATTTGATCATCATCTGGAAAAGAAACACTGAATTAAAGCCCCTAGTGACAATAAGCTGTCAAAAGTATTTTCATTTCTAATCTCCTAGTAAATGTAATCTTAAAACGTAATCTTACTAATTGCTAAATATACAGTAAAATGTTTTAGGGTAACATTTTACTGTATTTTTAACATTTTACTGTATTCGATTAGTTAGTCTTACGCGAATTTCAACGTATGGAAAAGCTACTGCGATAAATATACTTCATAGTATCAAGAATAAAAATTATAAAAGTTAGAAGAAAACGCTGCATAAATATCAACATTCGTGAAAAACAGAAATGTTTCAGTAAAAATATTCAAATACTGATCAGTTTGAATTATTATTTAGTGCCAGCAGTCAATTTATTTTATTAATAGATCTGTTAGTTGTAATATCAGACTTCAATAAACGATGAAGCCCTCTTTTTAACCAAAACCTGAATAAAAGGAAGAAAGACAAAATTTCACAGAAATCATGATCACTTTTCTCATTAGTAGAAAAACTTATTTTTATTTACATTCTATTATATAATGATAAATTTGAAACTAGACCAGAAACTAAGAAAATAACTGCGTGCGAATTTATATATAATTTTCACTTAAGTTGAGCGAATTAAAGAAATTTTATTTGATACTTATGGTAACACATAAGCATGCTTCGAAGTTCAGAAAAATCTTGATGAAGTGATCACCAGGTAAGGTAAATTGAATAAATTTGAGTAGTGTTTCAAAAAGCTGAATTAATTTTTGCAAAATATAGAAAGATATGTGCTAAAAAGAACAACAACAAAAAAAAAAAAAAAAAAAAAAAAACATTTGTTTTATCCTCTAATGAAACTCTATATAAAAGAGCAATTTTCTCTGAATCCCCTAAGAATTTAATAAATTAATTTATTAAACCTTTACCTTATTTCAAACGGTTCAGCAATAAATCAATATCACTGAATATGCGATAGAGTTCAAATACGGATTTAATCAAAAACACAAACATTATGCCTAGAATCTTGTATTTGTTACTCTAATTTAATGATATAAGTCGCAAAGCTTTTTTTTCCTGTTGCCACATATCATTTATTTAAATCGAATGCGTTTTTATTATTTCTTGAGTTGCCAGAAAAGGAAATAAAAAATATTTATTCAGATTGGAAAACACTTTGCTCTCAAATGTATGCTAACTGGCGAATGAATTATGACTATTTAATTCTTCCTATTATTATTTATTATACTTTCTAAACGTGCATTAATTGATGGATTAATATTTTGTGGCAAACGACATTTTCCAGTATGTAAGATAAAAAAATAATGACTATAGACTTTATATTTTATATTTATTAATCTTGTATGATAACAGCTACAAACTTCTAGTCACAAAATTCTTTGAGATAAGGTACAAAAATTTATAAAAGTAGTTCGAATACCGAGGAGAATTCTCTGGAAATGAAATCCAATTTCCTTTATGACACCAACAGAGTTAAAATTCCAAATAGTAAAATATCCATTACACTTGAATATGCAAAACTTTCCAAGGTATGTTTAGTAAATATATTCAAAGAGCAAGACAATTTCAGTTACGATTGTTGTTTTACTCAGAATGGCATCATTAATTGCCTAAATAAATATGCTTTGGAATGTTTTCCTAAATTTATTCTTAAAGTTTTGAATTTTTTCAAAAAAAGTTACTTTGGTAAGTAATTTTTTCTTAACTATCTTCCATGAATTTAGTATATAATGATATATTTTTTGTTCGTTTTTAAAGATAAGCACATAATGTTTAGTTTAATCATATTTTTTCTAAGAGAGAAGCATAAGAATTAAGTTTACTTCGACAGCATATTTTCCTTTATAGTGTTAATTATGTTTGCATAAAGTGTTCTCTATTACTTTAAGAAATTTATGATTAAAACAGAAATAGTATTTACGGCAATAAAACCCGTGGCTGCATTTCTTTAACATTTTATACAGTTATCGCTCCCTTATGACGAAAAGGTATGATTAGTAAAATCATTTATTGTAGAAGGAAGAGACACTTATCGAAGTCAAAATAAAAGTTATTTTTCTCCCCCTCCCCCGATTCACCTTGCAACCATGGAAACAACTGCTGCAGCAGACGATTCATGTCGCTTAATTATTTCCTCCATTCAGTTTCTGTTTAGCGTATCTCACTAAACAGAAACGTTTATCGCTAAACAGAAACGTAAACAGAACAGTTTCTGAAAGCGTATATCGCTTTATGAAAAAGGAGCGATTGAAGGCTGATTTGAACACAGTCTCAGATGACAGATGAGGTCGGGAAAAAAAGTGCTGTGTGGTGATAGCGACATGCGTTAAGATCACAAAAGGGAAGGACTGATAACGGCTTTAAAATACCTATTTTAAAGTAACGAACTGCAGTTATGAAGTTTAAAATACTGCGTGAATTAACAGTCTGAATAGTAAACCTTAAATTAGTCAGATACTGTCTTTGAGACTGTTCCAGTTGCAAATTTCCTATATTTGTTAAGGCATCAGTAAGGAAGAATGAATACCGAGGTTCAATTTATGGCGAAGTGTTAACACATTTTATTAGTATTACTTTTTCAAAGAATTTTAAAAACAGCACTTTCATACGCAGTTACCCTTTGTGTACCAAAAGACCAAATTGCATTTGCACAAAGCGGGTTGTTTCGGGGCGAGCGAGTATTGACATAAGTTATGCAGTTATAATTTATAATGAATTAGAAAGTTGACGGAGAAATATTTTGTTATATAGGACTGCGGAATTCCAATGACCAAGCACTGACTGAACACATAGGAGCCAACAACTGCATTACTATTATCTGTCGGATAGTTTTCGTGTAATATTAAGGAAAACGTTTGCGAGAATTTTCAAAATGTGACGTATATACACGAAGTAAACAAAGAGGATGGTAAAACAGCACTATCGTTGGTTTGATTTAGAATATATGTTTAGCCAAATAAAGCAGAACACACTTTAAAAAAAAAAAAAAAAAAAAAAAAGCATGCATGAGGAAAGAGTAATTTATTAATTGCGTGTCACGTAAAACGTATTATTTGTGTTTTAACGCGTGTTTTCCACACACTGTATTTAAATAGTTATATATCAGTATCACAAGTAATCATTTCTGACATAAAATGCTCAGAATGGCGATTCAACAGACAGCCAACAAACAGAATCTATTTCGCTCAAAGCTTTGCTGGCAAATTCAAGCTCAGGTTTCAGAGATTAAGCGAATTCATTTTTCTGCGGTATAATTAATGTCAGAAGCGAATATAAAAGGAGATATCTTACCCTTTCTGGCAGTTTTTATCTGATAATGCCCGTCTTCAAAACACCCTTCATAATGCAACTCAGAAACACTCGTATAACGTATCTGATACAGAGGTCGTTATTTGTAAACTATGACGTGTTTTCACATCATAGCTTTTATAAGAAATGACAGCTATATCAGATGATATATTGTTACACACGAGTGTTTCCTACAAGTCAAGATTAGAGTGTACAAGATACTCCTATGCATTTTTAGTTAAGTGGCACTTACATGAGAATATTAGCAGACAACAAAACTAGTGGATATAAATGCAGAAACAAAGGGGTGTGGCTTTTCAGTTATCTTTTCAGTAATATTTCTGGTTATAAGTTTTGATCAACAAACTTCTGAATGACCCTGGACATATTTACGATTTTATCTATTTAGCAATTAACTGCAGGACAAAGCTGACAATGTAATGACGAAATTATGAAACATGGCATCCGTAATCTTATACTGAGAGTATATATTTTTATCAGGCATAACAGCAAACGCATCACGTTTCGTTCATTAAGGTATTGTTCCGCATGTTTAATTTATTTATTTTTTCCTCCCCCTGAAAACTGCCTTTAAGTGTTTGCGTACAGTAGAACTCCAGTTATCGAGACTCCAGGTACTGAAGTCATCTAAACTCTTATACTTTTTTCGTTGGTTTAAATACTATAAAAATAGTAAACAACAGATCACATGGTTTTAACAAATTATACAATTATTCTCAATGAATAAGAAGCAAAATTCGACTAATAAACCATAAGGGAGAAAATTACATAACATATAGAGGTTTCTTCTTTTTCGTTTAATGAGGAAAGGTTTAGTTTTAACAAGACAGAATTCTTTTTAAAAAGATTAAACAAAATGCGAGGGAAAATATATCAGTTTCCTCTTAATGTAACGAATATTTATATCCCAGTTTGGAATATGTCTGTTCACAAATAAAGCTAACTTTCTTTAGGTTTTGTATAGTAAAAAATAAAAAGCAAGTTTATGTGGTTATACTTAGAGTTGCCCAAGCAAAAATTAACTGTTTTGTTTCAGATAGATTATTACATTTGTTAAGTAATTTTCGTAGCACCCGCAAATAAAATTACTATGTGTTTTGTGTGAAATAGAGAAAAAGAAATGAGCTGTCAATTTTGATAAATAATACCCCTTTTGGCAAATGGTTGGATACTTGCAAATTAAGCATTCATCGGGAATAGCCGAATCCATGGATTATTTAGCCATCTCGTCATCAAAAAATTAGCCAAAACATACCATGCGATTCGAGAGATATGACAGAACCAAAAAGGTGGCTAAACATTTGCAAATACACATATTTTCTTACGGACTCATAACCGAGTCCAGCGATAGGACAGCCGGCTTCTGCTAACCACCATATAAATCCAGCAAATAAAATAATTTCACATATGAATTCAGAAATAAACTTTTCTACTTTGTTTTATAAAAATGAAAATATTTTATTTTGTAACCACACAATCTACGATACGATAAATAAATAAAAAAAAATTCACATTGTACAAATACTTTTAACTCGCATTACGAAAAAAAAGTACATGCCAGAACTTAGAAAAAGTACTCGTAATAACACAAACTGATAAAAAAATTAGATAAAAGAAAATTATAGTTCGGTTGCCATTAACTTATAATGAGATCTGCTCTGCTATCATGTGAAACAATGGGAGAT